ATATTGATTAGAAAGCTGTTTAAGTACAGTGTTTGAAACATGACATAATCTCAAATGCCAAGACAAAGAAGAAGAATCTGGATGTGTAACATCTCTTGTGACTTTATTTACAATACTGGAACCATGTAGACAATTATTACAAGTATTGAAAGATGTCTCATAAACTGGATGATTTGTAAAAGGTAAACAGTAGAGTCCTTGAAGCTTTTTAGCTTGTCCAATCGTCTTCAAAGACTTCTTATGCAAGATGAAACAATTAAGTTCTGAGAATAGGACCACACATGAGTCAGAGGAAACAAGTTTGGGAATAGAGATAAGATGGGAGTGAAATTGTGGTACAAAGAGAGTATGATGGAGAGTAAGATTCCCAATGTTAACTGTACCAGACTGATGTGCTGTTACAAAGGAACCATTAGGAAGACTTATATGGATAGGGGGAATGGATATAAGAGAAGAGAAGAGATTTTGAGAAGGGCAAATGTGGTCAGTAGCACCACTATCTAAGATCCAAAATAAAGAATGAAAAGAAGTACCAGGAAGATGTAGTGGACTGGTGTTGGCTTGGTTGACAGAGTGAGGTGTTTGTGAAAGAGTGGTCTGTTGGAGAAGTGCCATGATCTTGTGATACTGCTCTTGAGACAAAGAAAACTGATTCTGAGTTAGGTTATCTGAAAGACATTGTGGCTGTGAGTTTTCAGCAGGATCAATAGAAGCCATGTTGACAGATGATGAGTTGGTTGCATTGACATTTTTGGATTTGTAACCTGGAGGATAACCATAAATCTGAAAGCAAGTGTCTCGAGTGTGATTAGTTCTTCCACAGTGATCACAAAATTTATTTCCTCTACCTCGTCCTGTTGATGAGTTTCTTCCACCACCTCTATTATTTTGCACATTACCACGATAGGAAGGATTTCCTCTTGAGACTGGATCAGTTTTTGGTTGAGATTGGGTTGTCACATTGAAGGTAGCAGCATTTGACATAGGTAATGAGTTCACAGTTCCAAATTCACGTTCATGTTGTAAAACCAAAGAGAAGACTCTTGTAATAGCAGGCATTGGATTGATTAACATGATTTGAGATCTGACCTGAGCAAATTCATCAGTCAATCCTCTTAAAAACTTTATGATAAACTCATCTTCGCGTTCTTTGATAATTTTCTTTAGAACTCCATAAGAGCACGGTGTTGAGCATTTGCATATAAGAACAGTTCTATATTGCTCCAATTCCTTCCATAATGTCTGTAATGTGGTGAAATACTGAGTAACAGAAGAAGAACCTTGACGAACTTGATGAATTTCGTCATGGAGGTCTGCGATGCGAAACATGTTGCCATGCGAAAATCTTTCACTCAGATCTGTCCAAATTGCTGCAGCGGTGTCAAAATAGATCACAGATTCTGCAATCGAAGGAATCATTGCACGCATAAGCCAAGCCATGACTATGCGATTACACCGTCTCCAAGGTTCGTATAGGGGATCAGTTTTTGCAGGTGAAGGAAAAGATCCATCAACAAATCTGTCCTTATTCTTTGATTCGAGCATGGCAAGCATATTATGACGCCATGAATGATAATTCTTCTCATTGAGAAGAACTGAAACAAGAACCAAAGTCGGATTTTCATTGGG